TGGTCACTATGGTCTGGATGACTGGATTCACAGTACTTGGACTACACAGTTACTGTCTATGTGTTCTTATCCTTCAACTGGCCTGCCTAGGGGAGAAAAATGCATTCCTCTGGCTTTGGTTTGATTTTGTTTTTCCTTATGAGAAGTCGGGTGGACCATTTTCAAAGAAGTGTAGAGCTTTAACAGGAGCAGGGGGCCAAGAAATGAGGCAAGGTGTAGAGGCACTTACTAATGAAGTGCACAACTTTATTCATTGCGTTGCCGAGTACAACAGTGACGCAGAGTACAGAGGTGTAGGAGCATGGGAAGTGCTGTTTGCCACAGGAGCACAGGCAGGTGAAGGATTGCAAAGCACAGCAACCTGGAGCCCCGCTGGCCACCTCCTCCCCCCTGCAGACAAGCACGCATCAGGACGTGGACGGACAGCCACTCACTTTCACAGGGGACAGGACACAGCTCTTAGAAAGGGTTCTTCCAAATAGTTGCTTTCATATTTCAAAAGGGAGGGAGGGATAGGACTGCAGGCCTTTCAACTTGGGGGAAAAATATCACACATACCTAATTAAAAATGAAGGACCTGTGCGCTTCAGTGCGGTGTCACTGGTAACTCACAGACTTCACACACCCAATGACAGGTCTGTGTGTAACACCCAGAGAGATCAGATTTTTGGACAACAGTCTTCTCTTCCGTAAAGGACATCATAAAGTGGCTCACCACCTTTCCCAGGTCATGCATACGGTGTCATCTCCTTTCACATTGACCAATGGGTTCATGAAGGGATCTCTGGGTATTTCACTCTTGTGAAACACACTTTGGGGAGGGGTCTGATTTGACGCCGACCATCGCCAATTGATGACACTAAGTTTTCGAACAGGTTGGAGTCATTTAATTTTGCAGTGTAGACATCCATTGTTTGGAAATGTTCCTTCAGCTTAAATTATCTACTCCCATTCCCTTGCTCGTTTATTCTGAGTTTGTCTTAAACCGAACTGGAACAAATGAAAATCTAGAAATCCGTATGCAAAGCATATTGGTCACCATTCTCCGCTGCTTCTGGGTCAGATGTAAAGAGAGCAATTAAAAAGGAAAAAAAGGCACCACACAGAAAGAAGGGTTTCTCTCACCATAACGTGCCGTCGTGGATGAAGTGTCATTAAGTCAGTTCCAACTCATAGTGACCCTGTACAGTGTTTCCCAGGAGTGGATGATGGGTCCGAACCACTGACCTTGCAGTTAGCAGTCCAGTGCTGATCCTACAGCGCCACACCGGGGCTCCTATCCTAACATATTTCCTTAGTACATCTTTGTAATAAGGGGGTATCATCGCAAATCTCAAGGCCTAAAGATCTCTGTTTCTGAATAGAAAGTTCTTCCAAAGAGAATGATGAAGAATGCGTTTTTGGGCATGTTGACACACACTTGCCTTCTCAAAAGAAAATAATTTGAAAAATCAAATACAGTCAGGGCTGGCTCTAGAAAGCACAGACAAATTCCTTCCTAGAGGTGACTTGTCAAGACTGAGTTTGCTTCAGGGGGCAGAGAAGGGCTGAAGTCATAGAGCCCGCTCCTTCCCACTGTTACTCCCAACCCTGAGGAAAAGGCGCTGCGAGAACAGAGAAAGCCGCGTCGCCACATCAGAGAAGCCTGGCACTAAGTTTGTTTCTAATAGTTTTTAAAAAGATCAACCTAGTCAAAAGTGGTTCACTTGATTTTTTTTTTTTTTAAATTTTAAAAGCATATGTATTTTATATAATCATCTGAGAAGCGATTCTTTAGAAAAAGCTGTTTGCTTCAAAGTGTAAAGAGAGTAGGTGAGAGTTTTATAAATGTTACCGGCACGACAACTCCAAGTTGAGTTGATCGACAAAACCAGGCTGAGGAGGAAAAGATGAGAACAGGAAATGAGCAGTCCCAGCATTCACTGCAGAAAAGGAAACTCGACTTGGAAGCAATTGTCTTTTGTAGGAGGGCGAGACTAGAGAACGGAACATATAGAAGATTACCCTTTTCTCTCTCTCCTTTTTTGCACCTTATGTTTCAGAGAACAGGTCACCTTTAGTTTTCAAAGAAGTCATTTTAACAACATATCATAGCTCACCCCAAAGCCAAACATAGGTGCAGAGCTTCCAAATGCTGTTTTGTATGATGGAATACATAACATGGGAAGACTACATGACAAGCCACCTTTTTAGGAAGAGCTTGCAAAGAAGCACTGACTGACTTTCACATCTCAGTGTGATCTTCTCAGTCACAAGTCAGTTGAATATTCGCATGTGTAGTCCTTTATAGATGTTCCTGGGAAGCTTGCTGCACACAGAATTCCTTCCTTAGAGTGAATAACCCCAGCACATCAGACTGTGCTCACCGTCTGAAGGTTAAAGGGCAGGGCAGGGTTCCAGCAGGGACCTGTACTGTGACCAGGACATTCTGAGGACATGCATGCTGAGCCCACTGAGAGCGAACTGCAGCCCAGACACTCACATTGGCCTGGATGATGGTGAGAAGGTGGCTATCCCATGACCTGCTTTCCCAGGTGGAAGCCTTCTGCGGGAAGCCTACTCAGCGTTCTAGAGCTCAGTGCCCCCTCACCAGAGCAGAGCACAATTCAGCTGAGATGGAGGGCTCCACGTGTTTTCTGGGTTTTTGCGTGTCGCAGCTTAAATGAGCGAGCCTGCTTGATATGGGAGGAAGTCATTCCCACCCTCCCGCCCCCCCCATCCCAAGTTGGATACAGAACTGAGTTCAAAAGATACAAGAAAAATAGTTTCATTAATGGGAGATTTCGTATTTAGCACTTTTAACTCTGCCATCTTAACATATGGAGAGTTGGACACAGTGTAGGACACAGCTCCTAACATAGACTGAGGGGCAGGAATTTTACCAAATCTCCTGATTGTGTCCATGTTTCCCAAATACCTTGAGTTTTCCTACACTGACATGTGATTTGCAAAGATATGCTTGGGATGGACCTTCCCTAACCAGTGAAAACCCTGGGGTCCTTTATTGTCTCCATAATGGAAAGACCAACCTTTTCAGCCAGCTGGGGGCTGGGACCCACTTGGTCACCACTATGACTGCAGTACAGAAAGTCCAGGGGACCGAGGTCCCTCCTCCCTGCACTCATAGACTGTAAGTAGCTTGATGAGGAGGACCCCAAGGGCTGAATACACAGGTGTCATGAGAAGTCACAGAGAAGATGAAACAAGATGAGACAAGAAGCAAATGATGCCTGAAGAGGGACAAGGCTGGATACTGCAGTTGGCGCTCAGGCCGAGCAGGGGCTGGTCTCGCCTCCTCGGCATCACCTTGTCCTAGTTATCCAGTGCACACATGGGGAAGAACGGTCCTCAAACATTCAGTGCAAACACAGAATTGCAAAGGCAAGCACACGTATCTCCTGCAAGCAGTCAGGGGGATGCTGCAAAGCATTAAATGTCTACTCCAGCACCAGGTGTGTCGACATGTTGCCAGGTGCAGGTCTGCAGCCCAGGTTCCAGGAATTGGGTATTTGCTTTTTATCATCAGCCTCAGACAGGCAGCTAGCAGCCCTATCTCTTGGTGCCAGCAGGAAGCGTTTCTGCACTTTTTTGCTCTCTCCTCTGGCTTTCAAACAGAGCTTGTATTCCCAAGCAGAGGTCCAAGAATGAGAAGAAACATTTCTTAGTTTTTTTTTCTTCCGTATGTGCTACTGGAGAGTCACCTCATTGGACTTTCAGTTTGAGTCACAGCGAGAGACTTCCCAGAATCACATCGGGCTCTTACGTCCATGTGTTGGTGAAATGCTAGGCTCAGATTTGCACCTCGTGTGGCTGAGTCTGAAGGCTCGGGTGAGATGCTCTGCTCTCCACACACAGCCTGGTCTTAATCTGCCTTCGTCACTCTGATCCCGAGCTGCATCTGGGCAGAGTTATGTGTGGAGGAGGCGTTGTTGGGTGTGGGCAGTTAAGTCTCGTCTAGCTCTTGGAGTCGTGTGCACTGAACCAGTGCAGACATCCCATGGGAGGTTCAGCGCAGGGACAAACATTCAAGCAGAAATGAGACTGAAGCACATGCCGACTCACAACTACCTTGGGTAAGTTCAACGTACGCATACCCACACACACACAGGCTAGGAAAAACAGAAAGTGGAAAAGGCCAAATCAAATCCATTTAAAGCAATCTACTTTGGAGTCACAGGAATTGAAAACGAGAGAGAGAAACGGGAAAAAAAAGAAGCGTCTTTCCTTAGCCTGTGGCTGAGTCGACTTTCAAACACGAGATCCATGTTGGGCTTGATCTGATTCACAGCACACCAGACATAGAGCAGAGGATCCCAGGTCAGAGACTTTGCGTTGGCAGGACTTGTTTCATGCTAAGAGGGGGATGTGGCCTCTGAACAAACATGCCTGCTGACGACACTGAGTAGTATGCAAGCCAGCCAATCTGAAGACAATCTCTCCCTTTCATGTCTCTGCAGAGGTGGGGCCCAAGAACATCTTGTTGCTGGGGAGGGAGACTTAAGTACGTTTTCTTAAGCAGAAAAAGTCTGAAGGGAGGTTTTTCCTTTCATTCCTTATCTTCCTCTTAGAAAGAAAGAAAAAAAGAACAGTAGCAAAGTCCTTCGCCAAGCATGCCCTAGAAGATAGCAGAGAACAAGGACTTTGTCAAAACCAACTTTGGCTGAAAACTCAAAACAGAGCTGCTGGCTCCGGAACTCTGATTTCCATTTCTGCAGCGCAGGGCGGAGCTGCGTGGGGCCATAGAGAAAGGCTGGAGCCACATGGGGAGGTTCCTGGTGCTCTTCCTTCTTAACCATCCTGCTACAGAATAAATATTCAGACTTTGGAATTTGTACAACTGGTTTGGGTTGGGTTTTTGTTTTTCCATGCGACATTCTAAGGGCACTTGCTGGCTCTTATCCTTACAGTCAGTCAGCACTACTGTTGGATAACAGTTCAAACAAAAGCAGAAAGTAGCTCCCGTTGTGTACTTGTGGAAGGTCACGTAAAAGGACACATGTGAACACAGAGATTTCTACCTCGTTGCTTCTTGGCAAGTGTTGCTGTTGCTTGGCCCAGGAGTCGGCTCATGGTGTTTTCATCAGATTCTTCCTTTTTTGTTGCTGCTCAGATCACAGTAGTTTGCATATTCTCCAGTCATATTTTGGGCCTTTCTTACAATATCCAATGGGTCCCGGTCCCCTCCACAGCTGCTCCTTTTTCTAATTGCTGTCTACGTGCGGGACTTAGAAGAGTTTTGCTTTCTTCTTCATGTCGTTGCGTCTCCAGAGAGGTAACCTGTCAAATTCTTGTATGGACATCCCGAAGATGTCCCGGAAGACTTCTGGGGCTAAGTGGCGCTGCAAGAGGAGAGAGGAGGAGTCAGTGTTGGTGGCTGACGGCTCAGAGAGCTGCTCTCCGGGTGACAAAAATTCAGTGGTTAGAGAACAGTTTACAAAGCCCAGAACACAGGAACTCCTTACCTGGGCAGGACAAGTGAGGCACCCTCCCACTAGAGAACAGAACTGGGGGAGGAGGGACGATCACCACAATACTACTGAAAAAAGCCCACTGCCAATGAGTGGGGTCTGAGTAAGATTGCTCCATGGGGGTTTTGAGACTATGAATCTTTATGAGTGCAGACAAGCCTCATCTTTCTCCTGTGGAGCAGCTGGTGGTTTCAAACTCTTGACCTTGTGGTTATCAGCCCAATGTGTGATCCACCATGTTTCCGGAGCTCCTCAAATTGTGTGGTTGTTAAGTGCCATGGAGTCGGTTCTGACTCATCGTGACCCTGCATAGGGATTGCAAGGAGCAGCTGGTGGGTTTAAACCACTGACCTTCTGAATAGCAGTCCAGTGTTTATCCTACAGTGCCACACCAGGGCTCCTCCTTTAATGGTGAGATGTTATTAAATCAACAACAATCAAACCTGGTGCCACTGAGTTGATTCTGACTTACGGAGACCCCACATGTTAGAGCAGAACTGAGCTCCATACAGCTTTCCTGGCAGTAATCTTTTATACAAGTAAATCGCCAGACCTTTGTTCTGAAGCCTCACTGGGTGGCTTTGAACCACCAGCTTTTCATTTAGCAGCTGAGTACAAACTGTTTGCACCACCCGGGGACCTAGTATGGGGTTGTTGTTGTTGTTAAGTGCCGTCGAGTCGGTTCCGACCCATAGCAACCCTGTACAGGGATTCCGAGGAGCAACTCATGAGCTTGAACCGCCGACCTTGCAGTTCAAATGGCTTTGCAGTGTGGCGCATCACCCCACAGCATCACACCAGGACACACACACACACACACAAAACCAAACTCACTGTCACTGGGTCCATTCCGACTCAGAGTGACCCTGTATAGGGTTTATGAGGCTGTGCAAGTTGTTATGGGAGCAGAAAGCCTGATCTTTTTCCCATGGAGCAGCTGATAGGTTTGTACTGTCAACCTTATGGTTAATAGTCCAATGCTTTTCCTACAGCATCACACCAGGGGTGTGTTGGTATTGTTATTAAGTGCTGTTGAGTTGGTTCCGGCTCATAGTGACCCTGTATAGGGTTTCCAAGGAGTGGCTGGTGGGTTTGAACCGCTGATCTTATGATTAGCAGTCTAGTGCTTATCCTACCGTGCCACACCAGGACTCTCTTGAGAGGTATGCTGTGGGTGTTAAGTGTCATTGAGTTGGTTCTGACTCATTGTGACCCTGTCTAGGATTTCCAAGGAGTGGCTAGCGGGTTTGAACCACCGACCTTGTGGTTCAGTGCTTTATCCTGCAGCACCAACTAGGATTCCCATTGAGAGGGAGGTCTAGGAAGTGAGTTATTAGGCAGGAGATGACTGCATTTCAGGTCCCTGGTATGTTGACAAAATAGGGAAAAATATACCAATGAGAAAGCTACAGAGAGGCTTCCAAAGAGACTTCCGGAGAGCTCCTCCTGGCTCAGCAGTGGGAGGTCAGCTGATGCTGGGTCCTCCTCCAGAGTCCATCCTCTGTCCTTTCTCCTAGGAAAGGCTCCTTGAGTTGCTGGAGCCTTGATTCTCTCCGCCAGACTTAACTCTTATACAAAGGTACTGGCCTTGTTAGGGAAGAGGACTGCTTCTTCAAGAGGCTGGTAGATGGAGCTTTCCTTAATTAAAATCATTCAGACGGAAAAAAACAATGATCAGTCTTCCATGTCTAAGGAGACCTTGGGTCTGTGGACCCGGATAACCCTTCCAGAAGGGATGAGGGAAGCCATGAGATATTTGTCCAATGTAAACCTCGTTATTGAGACCACCCCACAGGGATCTAGGGATGTGGGCAGAGGGACAGAGTCCCATTCATTTCTTCCTGACCACCCATAACAATGGCAACAGCAGATTCCCAGCAAAAATGACTAAATTGATACTGTGCCTCTGGGGTGGTTCTCCTGTGTTCTACCAGGTATGTTTACACTATGGCCTCTTCTATGTAAAAGTAGGTTTTGTTCCCAAGTTATCCCTTAGCTCTACCTACAACATCAGGCTGATCATTCTAATCTCATTTCATTTTTGCGTTCACTGAAGAAAAACTTTACTTAGGGGAAAGCTGCCAGGGACAGGGGTGGGGTAGCACAGGAAATTGCAGATGGGAATGTATTATTACTGTTTCTGTTTTACCTCCAGCCTGGTCCTGTCCACGTCTCTTAGGATTTTGTTGCGCCCTCTGTTGGTCACCATGAGCATTTCATATGGAAATATCTGATGAAGGAAAAACATCTGTTTAGGACTACTCTGCCCATTTTATGAGCAAGCAGAATCCGCTGAAATTGAGCTTCTAAGAGATTCCAATTAGGACAGCAGAAAGATGTATGTTCTGCCTTCCAGGTCGGCTGCAGCTCAAGCCCCCTGGTGGACAGGCCTACATTCTTACACCATCCTGGCTCTCACATAACTGTGCCTTTAAAGAGTTTTGTTGAGTGAAAAAATACCAACTATGTATTGAGATGAGGATAAAAATTCAAAGATGATAGATTATTCAGTCACAAAGGTAAATGAGGTTCTGACCCACAGTGCAACAGAGATGGACCGTAAAATAAGTCAGCTACAACAGGACACATCTTGTATGATCCCAGCTACGTGAGATAGGTAGGAAAGGCAAGTGCAGAGAGACCATAAGTCATTCGTGGCAGCTGGCATGGGCAAGAGGAGAAGGCAGGCTTTGCTTAAGGGGTCTACAGTTTCTGTTAAGGTGGATGGAAGGATAAAATGGAACAGATACTGGTGATGGTTGGGCAAGACAGTGAACCTAACTTGTGTTACTGGATTATGTGTGTCAGAGATATTGAAATGGTAAATGTTTGTTTTATTATATTGCTATTTGAGCCATCTAGTCAGTTCCAATACATAGCCACCCTCTATTGGATTTCCAAGGACCGGCTGGTAGGTTTGAACTGATGACCCTGAGGTTATCAGTCCAGTGCTTATCCTACATAACACAATAAAAAAGTGATTACAATGGCAAATGGTTTGTCATAGATAATTTCGCCACACACACATACAAAGGCAAGGAAAGAGAGAGATCACTGAAATTAGAAATTACAGGTACCATTTTGTCTTTCCCATGATGCTGCTTTCTGGCAGGAAAACTGTGCAACATGGTGTTCCACAGCTGACTCTGAGTTCTAGAGTCTGGTGTGTCCGAGCAGTGTTGTGGGCTCATATACTGAAATAAGCCCTTGGCACCTCTGGATGTCCAGGTACAGGGTGTCCCAGAGCTAATGTGTGCCTGGAAGCCCGGGACTGGGAAGGCTCCGGGAATACAAGATTTGGAATGCTAAAACTGGGAAGACCCTGGGAACCAAGACAAGTCAGTGCCTTCCCTGGGGCACTCTGCAGTGGCTCCACTCTGCATGTCTTACAGTGTTCACACCAGGGACCACTTCACACCTTGGTCAGAGAGAGAGCTGTGTGGTGCTTCACTGCACACAGAGCCCCACAGTGTGGGTTGCGCCTGGTCACGCAGTGCTACAAAACTGGTGCAAGGGCAGGATGCCTTGTGAGATGGTCTTGCCTGAAAGCACCAACCTAGAACAAAGTGGGCGCAACCCTCTGAAACGCTGACAAAATCGAAAACCAAGACATCTTCAAGGCTCTGTCCCAGCTTGTCGTCCCTACAAAAGGGGCAGGAGGGGCTCTGCACTTACCTTTGGTTCCAACATGTTGGGCATGGAGACTCCTCGGTCCATCCGCATTCCAGGCATGTGACCATCCGGGAGGGTCTGTAACAGACATACTGGGTCAGGGGAAGCACATAACAGCATACGAACGAAGACGAGGATTCTGTGGGCTCCCAAATGTTGTGGACTGGACTTCTAATCCCCACCACCATTTCAGGGATGGGACATCTTGACTCTCATGTATTTTTAGAAATGAGATTCTTGCTGTTAAGGGCAGGTGCTCTCTCATTTCATATTTAAATTGAGGAGACCCTGACTCACTAGCTCTTAACTAAAGGCTCCTTGTATGAAAGTAAGACGGGGGGCATCAAAGTGTTCATGGAAAAATGACATTAGCTTCTCATTCCATCAACTTTTTGAAGCCTCCTCCATATATATATATATTGTTGTTGTTAAGTGCCGTCTAGTTAGTTTCGACCCATAGCGACTCTGAACAGGGTTTCCGAGGCTGTAAATCTTTATGGGAGCAGATCGCCTCATCTTTCTCCCGCGTAGCAGCTGGTAGTTTTGAACTGCTGACCTTGCGGGTCGCAGCCCGATTCGTAACCACTATGCTACCAGAGCTCTCTCTCTCTCTCTCTCTCTCTCTCTCT